CCACAAAGCAATCTATTGTTGATACTTCTTCAAATCATGCTGAAATAATAGTTATTCATGAAGCAAGTAGGGAATGTGTATGGTTGAGATCAATAATTCATTTTATTCGAGAAAAATGTGGTTTGGAATGTGAGATAAGACCCACAATTTTATACGAAGACAATGTTGCATGCATACCCCAATTGAAGGGAGGATTTATAAAAGGAGATAGAACGAAGCACATTTCACCAAAATTATTCTACACACACGATCTTCAGAAAAATGGTGACATTGATGTGCAACAAATCCGTTCAAATGACAATCCGGCAGATTTATTCACTAAATCTTTGCCAACTTCAACTTTTGAGAAGATGGTATACAATATTGGAATGCGGAGACTCAAATATTTGAAACAAGGTTTTCATTAGGGAGAGTAAAATACGCGATGTACTCTTTTTTTTCCTTAATAAGGTTTTTCCCCACAGGGTTTTCCTTATATGGTTTTTAATGAGGCAGCTAGAAATGCGTTATTACTAAATATGTGTACTCTTTTTCCTTCACTAGGATTTTTCCCACTGGGTTTTTCCTAGTAAGGTTTTAACGAGGCACAATACCTTTTAATGAACATCCAAGGGGGAGTGTTATGAAAATAATTATATTGTGGATGTTCATTTATTACTCCGCTATAGATAATCTTCCTGAAGAAGATTATCCATTTAGTACTCTGTTGAAGTTTATCTACAAGCAGCTGATGCAGGCAGGTTGCAAGCAGCTCAATGAAATGATTTGCAGCAGCTTCTTATTAAACAGGCAGGTTGCAAGCAGCTCATGCAGACAGCTTACAAGCAGCTAAAGAAAAGCCTTGCAGNGCAGCTCAATGAAATGATTTGCAGCAGCTTTTTATTAAACATGCAGGTTGCAAGCAGCTCATGCAGACAGCTTACAAGCAGCTAAAGAAAAGTCTTGCAGCTGCTTCCTGAAAAGCCTCGCAGCTGCTTCCTTTCTTCTATAAATAGAGGAGTTTTCAATTTATTATATACATAAGTTTGAAGTTTGAATAATATATCAATCTCTCTCTATACTTGTCTTCGGTTTATTTATTTTACAATTTTTATTTTATAACATTTCTCCCTTTATTGGTTTGATTAATTCGTATAGTTTTGCAGAATATTAGCCGTCCATTAGTCTATAAGGCCACTTTGCCTACATTCCGCACTCCGCCCTTTTTTGATAAATCATTCTTTTGTTTATAAAGACATAAAATAGAATAAGCTACATATTCATCACTGAATTGGTAGTTTGCTTTGCCTTTTAGTGCAAAAGTGTGTCAGTTTTCTTTAGTTTATAAAGATGTAGCATGCATTTAACATTACGAGTTCCCTTGTTTCAGTAAGATATCGCAAGGAAAAAACCCTTTTCAACTTTTCTACGACGTGCGTAAACTAACGCTTCATAATTGAGTCATATACGAGTCACGAAAAGGTCGTTACATTGAGCAGAAAGTGAAGCATTCTGTAGTCTTTCCCTTTTTTTGACATGAACAGCATAGCTATGCAACCAAAAGAAATACAGTTGAAAGTGTTAACAGATTCCATCATGTAGCAACAGATATTAACAAGCCTGGTAAACTAAAACTGGATGATGGACTTATGCTTATGCATATGCACAACTCTCTTAGCAGCATAGGACAGTACTGTACAGAACATCAATGTGAAATACTTACTTACAAGAAGAGAAGTGGCACAAAATAATCAGATTAACTTCCACCGAATGATTGAGAAATATGATCTTCATCTTCACAACCTGTACACCATAGAAGAAACAGTGGACAAAGTAAGTTGAATATTAAACAGATTAAAAATAAGATCATTTGTGAGCCTAGACAATCTACTAAAATATAGGAATTTGCAACAAAATACCTTTATTTTTCGACTTGTCTGCTTACACCCTCAATCTTAAATGATCTTTGACTAAATTATCAGCTTATCTTTTGTCATTTTAAAATGAGAAAAGTTGCAACTTTTGATGTTTTTAGTATGTATTTTGAAAAATGAAATCAATCTCACTGTACTTTAACTCAATAGACGATGTAGGACTATGAATTTGCGAGAGGGACTAGTTTCTTCCATGAGATTTTCACTGAAGTCTTGTTTCTTTTGGGGGGAAATAAAACCAGGCATTAAACTAACCCTCTAATTAGTCAAGGGCAGTGATAGAAGTGCTTGGTGAAAACATTTTAGGTACCTCGAATTCTGCAGGCACGAACTATAAGATCATCAACTCCCAGGTTCCGTTGCTCTTCCTGAATTTGCTCGGCAGAAGTCACAACAGAACGCTCGCAGTTCTCTATCTCAATCGACTGCAATGTGAGACTGTCCGCGAAATCCAGAGGTATCTCTTGTAAATGATAGCAATCTCTTAGCACCAGATGCTCGAGGAGAGGAAAATGGTCACTAGTTGCCTTCCAGTAATTGGGATCTGAGCAATGTAAAAGCAAGAATTTTAGTTGATGAAACCCATTCTCAGATGGTTCCCACTCTTCACCTATGCAAGCACTGCTCCTCAATTTTAGCACCTCAAGATTAGGTAGCATACCAACAATGTCCATATTCTTCCAAGGCATGTACGTAAAGATAAATGTCAACTTCTTAAGGTTCTGTGGAAAGTTGCCTGGAGGAGGAAGGCACAAATTCAAGTGGTTAATATTTGTTTGAATGTGAAAACCCAGTGACTCAAGTTTACCTAGACTAGCAAGGTCATTGAAGCAATCTGGCATTTCACTCTCTCCATATTGAACCATGTGTCCTAGAATCATTAACTTCTTAACATTGGGAATCCTTTTGAACACTTCCTTTGTACAATTTAAAGGATTCAACCCAGAAAATGTCTGCAAATTTTCCAGCACCAAGCACTTCTCTTGTGAAGGTTGGGTTAAGCAATTCAAGCTAAACTTTAGATGCCTTAATTGTTCCATCCTCCATATTTCTTCTGCAAAATATATACAACCACAGACCCGGTAATCAAATACAAATGTTTCAAGATTCCAAAGGCTCATATCCAGGGGAGAATCCAAAGATCCGGCAAAGGTAAAAGCCAGGTATCTCAAGTGAAACAAACAAAGGATATCCTTAGGGAAATTGCCTCTCAATGTGTCAGTAGCTATATCTAATACTCTCAATAGCTTGAAACATGAGTACTCTAGTTTGATATCCGGAATGTAGTAAGGCTTACCCAAAAATAAAATTGAACGGGCTTTGTTGTAAGTATCATGATCAAAATATAACTTATAGTTGTCACAACTTAAGATACTTATCCGTCTATGAAATTTTGGATGAAAGAGGACGGGCTTTGCATGAAGATCATCATCTTTCTTTTGAATGACACGCAGAAAGTTTTCTCTCTGAGCTTCTCTCAAGCAAAATCCATGTAAAAGATCATGCATTTTGCATGTCTTTATTTTTCCATTGCGAGTACTCCCCTTATCGGCGAAAACTAAACTTCTATCTATAAGATCTTCTAAACACTTCTTAGCCACTTCTTCCAAGTTCTTATCCTTTTCTACCTCAAGAAACCCCTCTGCAACCCATAGCTTGACAAGTCTCTTGACATTAATCTCAGTGTCTTCCTGAAAAACTCCAAAATACAGAAAACAGGCTTTTATGTGATGAGGCAAGTGGCGGTAACTAAGATCAATAAGTCTTGAGCACTGTTTGTCAGGACATTCATATAAAAGTGAGTTCACATCTTCAGCAACATTTCCCCATTCAACTAATGAATGGATTTTGGAGAGAAGTCCAGCAACTATGATGATTGTTAGCGGTAATCCTCGACATTTTTTAACAACCTCTTTCCCTATCTTCTCAAATTCAGAGGAAAGACCTTTTTTAGTGAAAACCTTTGAGTGGAAGAGGTTCCAACTTTCATCGAAACTTAAAAGACGCATGCGATGAAAGGGAGGTTCATTCATGCTAGCATATTCAGCTACCTCTGTATTACGAGTGGTCAGTAATATTCGGCTTCCATTGCCATCATCTGGGAAACATAGCTTCATATCATCCCATGCTTCAGTGCTCCATATATCATCAATGAAAATCAAATACCTCCTCCCTTTTAAACCCTTTCGTAGCCGATCTGCTAATTGTCCATCACTTTCGTTACAAATTTCTCGAGGAATTGACGTGATAGAATTAAGAAGGCCTAGAAGTAACCTTCTAACATAAAATTCTTGTGAAACAGTAACCATTGGACGAGTGTCAAAGCGAGAAACGATTACTGGATCATAATAAATTCTTGTAGCAAATGTTGTCTTACCAATGCCCCCCATCCCAACAATAGAGACAACTTTTAGTTCACGTGAGCCCCTAGTAAGATGATCTAACATCAGGTCTAATTCATTGTTGTGGCCAACCATAACATTTTCTGGCTGCGAAGAAAGTTTTGATGAATCGGGACTAAAACCTTCATTTGCTGGAAGAGCTTTGACATGGTTTTCATAGCTAGTCTTGATCTTCATCCAGTCATTCATGGTGGAATCAATGTGTCCTTTTATCTGATTCAAGCTTCCAAGAATTCCACTCTCCATTGCTAACTCGACTTTATCTTCTAGTGCATATGCCATCTGTGTGGTTTGTGCTTCCAACCTTTTAATCATCTCAAGATCACTTCTTTTCACAGAATCCTCCAGAATGGCCCTCAAGGAACCAAGAGTTTCATATAGAAATTTCATTTCTTCCCCTTTCTCAGGATCTGGGTTTTGTTGCAGAATTTTTCCAACAGTTCCCATAAGAGAAGTCAAAGCAGCATAAGCCATTCTCCGTCTCTTTGTGTGTCTGCAATCGCAACAAAACTACAAAGGATCTGCACATAATAAATGACTTGAAAGCTAAATGCTGGAAAAGGAAGAAAGTCAGAATCCCGCAGAAAGATCGACTTTGATTAAAGTATGTGGCTCATCAGTGCATCAAACTTCGTTAATTTGTGAAATGATTGCTAGACCAGAAGAAACTTTAAATATAAATCGAAACTTAAAGCGAATCTATCAAATGGAAGATCTCTTTTACACAGATAACTTATCAGCACTTATTTTAAACTGATGCAACAACATTGCAATGCCCGAACTTCTTAGTGATATCAACAAACCTGAAGCCAATTGCTAGACCAGTCAAACACAAAAACAGAAAAAACAAAAGGAAAATGAAAGAATCAAATGAAATCCTGATATCTTTAAGCTTAAAACTAAGCCCAAAAGTCCGCATGAAAAAGGAATAGAGGTAGAACTATAAGCATTTTCGGATCAAGGTACAGCTCTAACACTCTGGCTAACATGGTAGTATAACAAGACCTCTCTAGTCTTGTCCTTGATATATAGTGAATATAACAGCTAAATATTCTACCACAGTGATCTTTTGTAATGGTGGTGTCCGAACCAGCTTCGTGCACAGGCATCAGCTAACTCTAACCACCAATACTTATACAAATGGAAATAAATCACCTAACACTTATTTTTTTGACTCGGTTGGATTTTAAACCTTGGTCTCCCAATGGTCCATTCTAAATTCATTGACCATTATCTGCTTTAACACAAAATCAACAATTCTGCTGCAACACACCTAACAAACTAAAAGCCCAAGCAGAAACAATATTTTGCTTTAACTCATCCAAGAATCTGTTCTGTAACAAATGTCACTCACAAATCAACCAGGCGAAACAACACGAAAAGGAAAGAAAAATAAAAGAAGTTATTAATCAGCTAACACGAAAATGGTAAAGAAGTGGAATCAAGCAACTAATCATGAAGTTACTGCTTACCAATTGGCTATGAAGTTACTCACAAGTCTGAGTCTTTTTCCCCCTCAGCTACAAATTCACACAATGTCTAAGCAGCAACCAATTACAGATGCAGCAACGTAACGCCTCTTATTTACTGCTACAACTACACCAAGCTCATAACTCCCTGATTGGAGAAAATGTGGAAAATATTTTATTTAACCAACAAGAAAACTTTCAGTCTTAAGCACAACTCTCTGTTTTTCTTTCTCTGTGGTATTTTACCAAACTGAGAGTCATGTATGAAAATAGCACCACCCTTAGGAATACAGAGATGTTCCTCACAGGAAATTAACAAATGAGCATAAGCTTACAGTACTGGCTAGAAACTCAGAAAGTCAAGGTTTCATCCCCAAACGAGCGCTTGGGCCGCTGTGCATTTAAGGCAAAAAAAGAAAGAGAACAACTTGCAGTACTTGGTAGATACAGGTTGCCCCAAATTAACACGAAAAAACTGGGTGGCTTATAGCCTGTTCGGCCAACACGTAGAAATAAGCTTATTTTGATAAGTTTTTACTCAAAATCAATTTGTGTTTGACTAATCGCTACGAAAAGCATTTTCGAGCAATAATTTATATTTGACCAAACTTTTCAGAAAGTTTTTTTAAGTATCAAATTACAAATAAGGACATGAATAGATTTACTTAATAGTTAATATTATAAGTAAATAAATAATCTCAAAAATTTGTTATTACATGCAATAATTAAATCTTTTTATTTTATTTAAGTACAATATGAAAATAAAATTTAAAAGTACTTAATTATTTTAATATAAATTAAATATATTAAAAATCATTCAATAAATATAAAAGCATTCACCTCTAAAGTCACTATATATTATAAAACTATCCTAAAAATAATAAAAAATATTTATACCTTAATATCCTAAGTATTAGGTTTGACGGTTATTTTGGTATATACTATATTTTGTTAAGAATATTTTTTGTAAGAAGAAAAGTCAAAACTGCTTCTGTTTCTGTTTTTGGAAAGAAGCTACTTTTTTCTGCTTCTCATAAACTATTTCTGTTTCTTCCCAAAAGCATTTTTTTCCCAAAAAAATTTGGTCAAGCACCTCAAGTTAGGGGAAAAAAGTGCTTTTGGGAAAAGAAAAAAAAAATACTTCTGGTCTCTTGAGAAACTTGGTCAAACATGCTATTAGCCACTTTTGGCCGGCTATCTTTTCAAATAGAGAAAACGGTCAAATATACCCTCTACTTTGGTATATTGTTCATATCTATCTTTCGTTATACTATTAGTCCAAATATACCCCTGCCGCTATACTTTGGGTTCAAATATATCCCCTATTTAAACGGAGGGACACGTGTTATCGTCTTATTGGTCAATTCTAAATATCTCCTAATTAATTAAAAAGACCCATTACCCATATCCGAAAAATAATTTTCTAAAGCAATATTTTTTTCTAAAAACTAGAAAAAATTGGAATTTTTTTTTACTAAAACTGAAAAAAAAACAAAATTATTTTTTTCAGTTTTTTACAAAAAACTAGCTTTAAAAAAACTAAAAAGTAATTTTCTAAAGCGTGTAAAATCTGGAAACATTTTTACTAAAAACTGGAAAAAAAATGAAAATATTTGTTTTTTCAGTTTTTACAAAAACATTGCTTTAGAAAATATTTTTCAGTTTAAACTGGAAAAAAAATGAAAATATTTGTTTTTTCAGTTTTTACAAAAACATTGCTTTAGGAAATTACTTTTCAGTTTTTTTTTCAGTGTTTACAAAAAAATTGCTTTAGAAAATATTTTTCAGTTTAAACTGGAAAAAAAAATATTTTCATTTTTTCCAGTTTTTAGTAAAAACAAATTTAATTTTTCAGTTTTTACAAAAATATTGATTTAGAAAATTTCTTTTTAGTTTTTACAAAAACATTGCTTTAGGAAATTACTTTTCAGTTTTTTTTTCAGTGTTTACAAAAAAATTGCTTTAGAAAATATTTTTCAGTTTAAACTGGAAAAAAAAATATTTTCATTTTTTCCAGTTTTTAGTAAAAACAAATTTAATTTTTCAGTTTTTACAAAAATATTGATTTAGAAAATTTCTTTTTAGTTTTTACAAAAACATTGCTTTAGAAAATATTTTTCAGCTTTTTTTAAAAGCATTGTTTTTTGTAAAACCTGGAAAAAAAATTCGTTTTTTTCAGTTTTTAGTAAAAAAAATATTCAGTTTTTTCCAATTTTTACAAAATAAATTGCTTTAGAAAACTATTTTTTGAATATGGGTAATGGGTCTTTTAATTAATTAGGAGATATTTAGAATTGGCCAATAGGACGATGACAGATGTCCCTTTGTTTAAATGAGGGATATATTTGAACCCAAAGTATAACGAAGGGTAGATATGAACAATATACCAAAGTAGAGGGATATATTTGGCCATTTTCCCTTTCAACTATATTATTACTTTCTTCCATAATAATAAATAATATTTTTACCTTTTTATTGCGGTCCAAAATAAGCTTTTTTTATATAATTAAGAAAGAATTAATTTTATTTTTTTAAATTTGTCCTTATTTAAATGTCCTTTTACTATATCCAATATGTTAAGTTAACAATATGCAAATTTTAATTAAGGGTAATTTATTCAAAATATTATTTTTTCTAGGAGTTATTATTTTATTAGGAAATATAGCAAAGGCTAAAAGGTCACTTATTATGGATCGGAGGGAGTAGTAAAATAGTCACTGATCTGATTAAATTGACTTGCCACTAACTAATAACATATTTTGCCAAACTGGAAAAATCAGCTTATTTTGATAAGTGTTTTTTTCCAAAAGCGCTTTTTTCAAAAATACTTTTGGTGAAAAGCAGTTTGTGTTTAGCAATTTGTGTTTGACCAAGCTTTTAAAAAGTATTTCTAAGTTTATTTTTCTCGAAAGTACTTCTGGGAAGAAGCTACTTTTTTCTGCTTCTCCAAAACTGTTTTTGAGTAGAAATTGTTTCTGCTTCTACTCAAAAGCACTTTTTTTCTTTTAAAAGCTTGGCCAAACACTTTAATTTTGAAAAAAAAAATTATTTTTTTTGAAAAAAATGTGCTTCTCAACTTGGAGAAACTTGGCCAAACAGGCTATAAGATATGGTGGCCTTGTGGTTGATTGTCCTTTTTGGGCGCCCAAAGGTGCAACCACTTGGATCCTTTCAGTTGTTAATTTTTCTTGAGAGAACCTGCTCTGATACCAATTGTTATTTTAGGATGCACATGTGTTAGCCTTTCTTAAAGAACATGCTCTGATATCAACTGTTATTTTAGGATGCACCTAGATATAAGAGGGGGGGTGAATTGTATCTTTTTCGATTTTTGCGTATTAAAGATGTGGTTCTTTAACCTAAAATTTTTATATATAAACATAAAGTGAAGTGCAAAAGTTAAACAACATAAGGAAGTTTACGTGAAAAAACTCCCTGTTCAAGGGAGTAAGAATCATGACCTACCCTCATAAGATTTAGCTCAAAATTTTACTAACTTCAAAGAGCACTTTTATTTTACAACTCAATAACCAAAGATAATATAAATTCTAGTACCTTACCCCCTACAATCAATTCAATTGTAGCTAAATTTTAAGTTGCAACTCTATAACCAAAGAGATTAACTCCAGTACCTTTAATCCATTCAAGACTATATACTCTAGTCTAGAAAGCTAAACAAACTCTTCAAATTTGATAACCTAACAATACACTCCTCAAAAGAAAAATATGCTACAATTTAAGACCAATGAATCAAGACTCAACAACAACTAAAGAACTAAATAGCTTCATCTCCAGGATCAAGTTCTTCAGTTGTGCAGTTTGAATTCTTGAAAGCACCATTTTGCTATGATTGCTATTGTTCTTGAATGATTCTTTATATTTGCACAAATTAGCATTAGCTTCAGTAACAATAACATGATGCTTTATATGGAAATGAGGTTGGCCAAATCCTTTTCCAATTTTAGCTCCAAAACATAAATAATTCGGTTACAAAAAACAATCCCTCTAGGATTCGATTTCCTTAATTTTTCAACTCCATATGCCTTTTCTTTTCCACACATCTTTTCCCTTTATACAAGTGTAACAATATTAATGTATCCTTATTGACCACGAATTCCTCCGGTTGACATAATACTTGTAGCCCACGAAATAAATTATTCAAGAAATTCGAGTTGCATAAGAAATTAGGGTCCAGCTTTTGATAAGTGTATAGGAACCTGATTTTTTCGATATGCTTCGACAAATCTGCAACACAATTAGTACAACAAATATCTTCAAAATATCTGATTCTTCAACAATTGTTTGTTAAAACCAATTTAAGCTTAGCTCAACATATTTCTATTGTCCTAATCTTTAATTTTACTTTCTTTTTTTTGGATTAGTCTCTTAACTAAAATTCTCTCTAAAACGGTACAACAGACGACGCAACGCTGTCTACGCGCTAATTAGCTTCCGATGTATTTTCTGGCATTGATTTGATTAAAGGAAAGGCATCCTTTCCATAGCATTAACAAACTAGAATCCGATTAGATTAAATCCTGCATTGTCATCCTTCACCTCAAAAAAAGTTGTCTCCCTATCATTATCTCCATGGATGGTAAGAATTCCCCCATCTCTGGGAATAACTAGTATTTATTGTCAGTGAATACTTTTTTTCTACGGTCATGGATTTTTAAGGATACCAAAAATAGGAATGATCCCACCGTTCTTATTTTTATCCTGTTAGTTTTATGGTATCGTTATTTCTTCAACACCAACATTCACTAAAACATCCTTATCGTGGAATCGAAGATCTATACATAGACATTTCATAGTAAAAGACGCATGAAGAGACAATAATCTAGAGTTTTGTTGTTTCATTTTCTTTGGTAGGAAATAAACTTTCCTTTCCTGCAAATTTGAAATAGTATGTAATTTCTTTCAAAAGAATAAACGAAAAAGGGCCAACAATACCCCTAACAGATTGAAAATGGCTCAAAAATATCCTTTGTTAATCTTTTGGTCTGCAAATGCCCCTAACGTTTATTTTAGGCTCAAACTTACCCGTATATCTAACAGAACTAACCTGGTCAATTTTTTGACTTTAACTTCGCCATGTGGTATTTTCTTAACCCACCACGTGTATTATTTGTATTAAATAAAATCCACTTGTATCTTTTAAAATACCCAACGACCCTGACCCGCTCCTATATATTTGGACGGTCGGCTAAAAATAACTATATTCGCTAATTAAATATATAAAAAAAATATACATTGATTATATATAAAAATATTTATATTATACATTAATATTTTAATATATATTTTACATGATATTATTGTTAGGATAAATTATACGGTGTAGTTTTCCCTTCAAATTTTACAAATCTTAACAAGTTTAACAAATATAAATTTTAATTTGCAAATATAAAAATGATAATGTTCTATTTATATGACCTTCTAAAGGAGAAG